ATAATTTACTACATAATTCATTATTTGAAAGCGAACTAAATTAATAATATACTTTTATATTTTAATTTAATGTTACATTTCAAGATTTCTATTATTAAAATGTTTCTAAACTAAACTAAAAGCAGATTTTCACCCTTGAGCTGGTAAGGTACTGCTGTCTTGTTTGGGACTGACTTTTCCCCTCAGGAGAAGCAGCTGCTCATGGCCACATTTCGATTGTGCCTGTATGAAACTTAATATTTTGTTCATAATGTGTGTTCTATATATCATAAAAATCTGAGTGTTTGACACAGTGTTATATGACAGCTATTAATGAAAGAATCTAAATCAGATAATAAGTATCAATTCCTGGTAAGGAAGATATATTTGCTGAAAATATACAGAGGCCAGGATCTCTGTTAATTAAATTATCCTATTCTGAACACAAAACTTAGCTAAAAAAAAGAAGTATTTTTTAAGAAACAGTCACAATGAAAAGATCCCCCTCCCACCTGTGCCCTGCACTCAACTCAAGTCTCAACATCTTCCATTTGTTATACCAATATACTGTATTTCAGCACAAGGAATGCAAGCACAATATACATGAGCAAGAGCAAGAACTAATCGTAACATCTGAGGATTACAAAAAAAAAGATCTACATTTCTGTAAATCAATATATAACCCTACCAAATGTATTTCAAAACTGTACAATTGCAACTTTGTATTTAACAATGTATGTATTTATGTTAGGTATAGTTTTTCTGTTCTATTTTGTTTATGCAGTTTTATAACCAATGGAAATGTTATGTAATGTCTTTATATGTAGTTGCTAATAACCATAGTCGTTGATGCGAATTAAAATAAAATTAATTTATTATTATGATGATGATTATGAGGATGAAAAGATAAAAGTGTTGCAAGATAAAACTATATACTTCTTATGGAAATGGAGAAGTGTAATGACATGATAGAAGAATTTGTCAATAGAATGGCAATATCATGACTACTTCCCTACATGCCAGATAACCACACTCCATCCTACACTGAAAATAAAACCCGAATGGCACGAATCTTACAAGGGTTTTGTGAACAATGGGTATTAAATGAACCCATCTAACAATACATTTTAGGAATCCAACCACAAAGAATAAATAAAAATAAAAAGTTTCTTCGTAGTTTTAGGTTGCTTGGCTAACATTAGCCTCCTTTATTCGATCTCTAATTTCACATTTTGTATTCATCCTACTTTACACAGATTTCAAATGATCAACTCCAACAATAAAAACTTAAACATCAAACCAATACTACTTCAACAGAGAGACCATTAAAGTTAATTTTTCCATTACATGTTTCTGAAACTGTAATCCATTGAAATGGCTTTGGATTGAGTTCACTTTAAAGTTCATAACATTGTCCTACTTGCGCAAGATTTACATTTCAAGAAGTAACTCAGAGTACAAATAACTTATGTCCCAATTTTCAGGTGTGTTTAGTGTACTTTTAAAAAATGGATGTCTATTCTTTTATTTTATTGGATACTTCAATTAGAAAAGGGTCCATTTCTTTCTAAATCTTCAAAGTTATTTCTTAATTTTCCTAGAAACTTTGTGTCTAGTTGATTTTTTGAAGTAACTATTGTTCACCGCAATGAAAATTAATTCATTTAATTATTCTGGGCTCCCTTCCTGTTAACATTAATAGCAATTATATGTAAACAGATGGCCCTTGCGACTCGCAAATGGAACAAATAAGTGCTTACGTTAACAAAAATGTATTCTATAATTTGAGACAGAGTGTATATTGCCATAATGGTAGCTGTCACATGTCTGATTTTGCTGTGCTGACTGAGCTGTGGCCTAGCCTGTGGGTCAAATTTGTTATAACACAATATACATTAATAAAATGATAGAAAAACCATTTGAAACCAAAAGGTTTTGTAAAATACCAAAACAAACCAAAATATTTTATTAACAAACCTGAACGATAGTTGAAACTGATACTTTGATAATAAACAATGTGTATAATTTAATAATCCCAACTCCTTATGGCACACATGTTACAGGCAATGCCTTCTTATTTTACCCATAAAAGAAAAAGGAAAGGGCCATGGACCTGATTCAAACCCTCAGTAAAATTAGGGATTTTTATCCGGCTGTCCTATTCAGAGCTATCCTAAGGTTCAATCATCCTTCTTCCGAAATTAGTACTAACTGGCTTTATTCACAGTAAATATTGCTAAGTATATACAAGAAGTACAGCACTTCATGTCATCTTCTCTCCACTACCAAGAATATCAAAGATAATTTCCCGTCTTGTTACTAGTACAAAAGGACCTGGGAAGGGGGATGGGGGTGAGGATGAGGGGGAAAATGGCTAATATTCCAGCGTGTTACTTAACCTCCTATAATCCTACGTACATGTACGCACAGAATTGTATGTACAAAGGGAGACGGGGGAGGAGGGGCAAAAACCCTAAATTCATCAACAGCCTATTATTAATAACATAACGTAACATTTAAGGTTTAAAAATGAGAATTAGAAAACTGATACAATCATCTAATGCCAAAATAAACTTGGTAGAGCTCTGAAACGAATTGAATCTTATTTGAGAAAACCGTCAAGCACCAAAATCTTAATAAAAGCGTTTAAAAAAATGGAATATTGTTCCATGAGGATAGATATAATTTACTGCACATTTACATGAAAAACATTTATTTATCAACTGCTTTAATATTACAAAATATTTTGAAATCAGAAAAACCGGGACCCTTTTTCTCAGTTTTCTTGAAATGAGGAATTTGGTGTTTGATGAGTTTCTGAAATAAACTATGCAATTTAGGATAATAACAGTCTCTCACAATAATCATACTGAAATAATATCAAGCTTCTTTAACTAACAAAGTTTAAATCACAATTACATTTAATTACATTGGAGAAGGGGACTTTTTGTTACAAAAATCAACCAAAAGTTAGAACTGTGAATGAATAGTAAATGATGTAATGGACCATAACAAAAAATTCTGAAAGAAATAAAACAAACACAAAAATAAATACAAATTGAAATAAGTAAACCCGATGTCCAAGGCATCTAAGGCAAGAGTTCAATTAAGCTTCAATTCAAAGTTGTTGGTTTACATTCCACCTCAAGCATGTGTATTAGAGCCTGTAGGTCTTTCAACAGTTATGCGCACGATGAAAGATAATGGGACATGCCTTCTTTATATGCTCTATAAATTGTGTAAATAAAAAGAAAACAATTTTAAAATAAATAAAAATGTAATTAAACTCTTCTTGACATTCACTTGGCATTGGTATTCTTCCGTTTTCAATTCAATGAACTGAACAATCAATACATTAATTCCACATGTAATTCTTTCATATGAACAGTTTTTGACAAGCATACACAAAGTCAAAGAAAATTTTTATTAATTTTACCTTCCATCTTGTCGACGAGGGGCATCATGTAGTGATCCAGCCAGTGCAGAGGAGGTAGTAGGGGTATCTGTACTAATGTTACTGTTTTCTCTTACGGCTGTACTTTCTTTCCTCGTAAAAGACACTCTGCTCTCAGGGGCAGCATTGTGTAGGAACCGACACTGTTCACCATAAGCACAGGCTCCTCGTTGGAAAAACCTGCAAGGTATCCTCCCCGCTCCAGGAGTCACAGTAGACATCCTCTCCCCACTCTGAGATCTGTCACCATGGATCCAGTTGGTGCCTGAATCCGTGCTTCTTCTTGAGGTGGAATTGCGACCTCGGCACGATGGTCGACCAGAGTATCTGCAACAAAATAAAAATGGATATAGCAAACAATGTGCAATGTAAACAATCCAACAAAACTGGATTATGGAACTGGTTTAGTCTGAATTGTCTAGACTTTACTAAATATAATTAATTTTAGACCGTGAGAATATTATGGTCAATAGAAATTAATTATAAACGTGATGGATGAAAGCAGTACCTGGGCAATAGGCACAGGGTGCTCAAATTTATTATTTGAATATCCTATATATTCATGAAACTCCAATGCATCAAAATTATTTGACCATAATCTACCTTACAATAATAATGAAGATTTAAATTATTTTCTTTATTTAATATCAAAAAAGTTAAAAACTGTGTGATATTCCACAGGGAGAAGTTCAATTCATGCACGTTGAAGATTATTACAAATCTCTACTTAACATCTGTCAGTTTCAATTCCCATATAAATCAGTCAACAGAAAACTTCATTAGCGTCTGCCTTTGTTCCTTCTTGCGAGGCCAAGAAGTTCAATAAATTTGGGTGTCTGATAATAAAAATCTTAAATGTATTTTCGTTAATTCCTAATTTTCTAATTGGAAAAATCAAATTCATCTCTAGCCAACAGGACAAACAAATTGTTCAGATAGCATCATGATATTTTAGCAAATTCCTAATTTGAAACTGTGTACAGCTATCAATATCGAACAGATGACAAGAATCACTATGTACTTAGCTTTCAAGTGAATAGTATCTGATCTAACCATAACTTATATCCAACAAATCTGATGTTAAAGCCATGAAAAGCTGTTAGTCAACAACTGTTAGGTACTTCAGAAGAAAAATCAACAAATAAAAAGACTATTTACCAAACTTAAAAATTAACGCTTTCTACGCCATTTCTGTGTTGATAATTAAACAAAGCAAATCTTTATACAAGTATCGTAAAATTAAAATACATTTCATTTAATTAGAATAATGTAACAGATACTAACCCATTATTGAAGGGGTGATATCTTGTTCGAGAAGACCTTCTCGACCTTACTTTTTCCCACCCACCTTCAGAATCCATATTTATATCAAAAGAAGTAAATAATAAAATAAAAAATAAAAATATTAGCACTCCCACTAATGACTAGTTTGAGCTGCCATGCACAATTTTCTAAGTAGATTCAACCCGGATTTCACGCGCTGCAGGTTCCCGGTCTTGCCATTAAGAAATTAAAATAGTTGAAAGTAGTGGATCTTGCTGTCAACACAACCAAAATCAGCGCCCTCTGTTTCTCCAGACACTTTAGATACGTATCAAAACTATATGGTAATAGTCTAGTGGCGAAATCGAAACACGCACGAGGGAAATCGAAAAATAAATGAGTATTAATTATTAATATATAGCGATAACGATTCTACAATGAGAGTGCATTAACTTTCCTGGCGAGTTCAATATTGCTACGCGATTACAGAGAACCAAAAACTAAGCGATGGGTCTGCGTTGAAGAAAAGTACCAACTAGTGAAATTTGTACTGCCACAAAATCATTTGAATATTTATTACTGCAGATGACAAGCAAACTAACAAAAGTGTTGATGTATCTTTCTAGAAAATGTCACACCTATATAGACAAATTAAAAACAAATTCTGGGAAACTATACTCCGATTTAAATTTAGGGCGAATTGACGTTTGATTAGTTGGGTTGCCGATACCTAATCGAGAGCTTCGTTACGACATATTTTTTGAAATTTAAGTTTCCGATTGGATAACCGCCCCTCCCCTGATTAAACAATTCACGGTATATTTATAACGGACAATACATAAAACCTAACGCGTGATAGTTGCGGTATTTCTTATTTGTAATTTACCCATAATGATAACTAGAACCCAGAAGTTCAAGCATTTATTGTACTTAAAAGACGCAAAAAAGGCAATTATTTTAATGAAATACGCATTCAAAAAAGTACGCATTCAAAAAGATTTTTATTCTAGCTACAAAAAGGGGGCAAAAATGCACGGAAACAATGAATAATCACGTTCAAAAGGAATGATTGAAAAAAAATATTAATTAAAATGAATCATTTTTATTCTAATCCTAATATTTATATTAGCACTTAACGTGTAAGGAAACGGTATTTTCTTAGTAATCTTCATTCCACATGGTCATTCCGTGTGAACACAACGAATTTGTTTTACTCGCGACGCTTCTCTCTTTGAAATGCTGTTGTGAACTCCCCCTTGAATCTTGAAATGGCATATTTTCGTTCTTCGCACTTGTGTAATCGCCAGCACTGAGAAGGGTATACAGAGCTGTCATTAAAAGGGGTCGGTAGCATTACTCAAACGTAGGATGGGATTCGTCGTGAGCGAACAAAGTCTGTTGGGATCAATGAAAAAATAAAATATTTCGACTGGCATAATCTTCCTTTTCCATTGGTTTTATCACATCCTCTGCTTCCACAGACAGAGAAAACACGACCGTGCCTTCGTGCTGTCTAGGCTTGCAGTATATATCCAACTTGACGGTGATCGGTGCCAGGAGAAGGAAAAAGAAAATAACGATATAGTAAATGTCATAAAAAAGGAAAAATAAGACAAAATGAAAACCTGGAGTTTTAGTAGAAGCATCGCTTAATTAAGCGATTCCTATTGTTCAAAGACATAAAATAGTGACAACAATAAAAAGGCATTTTGCCACACTTCCGGGCGGGCTACAAGATCCCAATAAAATTAGAATGAAGTTGACATTTCGTAGTCACGATGACGCCAGCGCCGCAACATAGGAACAGCGATTCAGAAGCTTCGGTATTTGCACATTGTTGTCACCAAAAATTAGGGAACAAATGAATCGCGTACCTCGAATGTGTTTAACGAGATGAGCGAAGTCCAAGTGTCGAGTGTGAGGTTCCTGTGTACAAAAGTGCGTAGCGCGTGCGCAATTACTGAGTACCGGAGTTGGATCTATCATTGTTATAATTTTTTTCAAAATCTTCCTTGTTATCGTTGTTTATAATTGCCATTTTGCTATCTTTGTTTGTTACTACGATTTTGTTATCGTCGTTTGTTATTGCCTATTGGTATCGTTTCGTTAGCGCTGTCTCTTCTGACATGTCACAAGAAAGTGGCAAACGCGGCCGAGACCGCCGGAAGATTTATCTCAAAGGAAAACTAGTGGCAGCAGCCAAATCACATACTTTCTCACATTCATTCTCATTGCTTCGCAAATTATACAACTACATAAATTAGCAAAAGTGTTTTAAAGAAGCAAATTACTTTTTCGCACCGAGACCCGAACTCAGATCCTCAGAAAATGAGCTGAACAGTTTAGGCGCTAGCTTTGACCACAGACGGACAGACAGACGGAAGTTTTGCCGTCATTCTATTTTACGGTATAAAGAACCAACAAAACGGATTCTGACTACACCACGAGTTAGAGGACTTTTTTCTAAATTTAGCAACACAATTTATCCCCTTTTTCATCACCACAGCCGGGCAATAAGTTTTTTCTGGACAAAATTTGCCATTTTCTGGCGCACGATTTTTTCTGGCGAACTTTCTCTTCTTAGGAAGAATTCGTAAGGCGAGAAAGTAAAAAGAAATCCGCTCGAGGCGTCCCTCTGAAAGGACAATCCCGCAAAAATTGCATAAACGTTCGTGATTACTTTTTGAGAGGGAGAAAAACAATAGTGGTCCCTTGTTACCCCTTTCAAAAGTAGTTCAGCGAACAGGTGATTCTCTGAATTGGCACGTAAATACAGTGATGAAGATTGGGAAAGAGCAGCAGGATAAAAGAATACTGCATTTGACTGATGACTGCGCACAGTGACTGTGTTACTTTATCATAAAACAGTGTAGTTTGGGAATAATTGACGAAGGATCAGAACCGGCAAGTTTGGTATTTATTATCTTTCTTTCACTTGTTACGAGTTTCTCAATATTCCTTTCTTGTTTGCCTAGTTAGCGTTGAGAACATGGGGAAGGGCGTGCAGTATGCGGCAAAGCCGCCCCCTCCACACTCAAACTACATTCTACTTTTATTCGTACTATGATTACGGACTTCAGGATTGTATGTCATATCCAGGTCTTGCTGAATTGGCAATGCTTAATATGAACTTTATTTGATGTTGGAAAAAGGTGATTAAAACAAAAAAGGTAGCTCGGCTGAATTTCACAGGTACGGTTATTTAACCTAGCAACTAAATAGCGGTTATGCGTATTGATGTAGGATTGTTCAGTATATACGATCATAGATTGAAATTCAAAATCTGGGAACTCGCCATTACTTTACATTCTATTTAAGGTAGCGTGAGCACCCGGCAATGTTTGCGTAATATCGTTAGATACTCGTACAAACTGCAGAGCTTGTATTAAAGCCCATTCACAATGCAAACACAAGCGCGACATTAACATAAAAGTTAGGCCTACGTCAACTCGTTCACAATGTGTTCGCATAAGCATAACACACAAGACGTTAACTGAGACGCTTGCAAACTTCAAGCTTTTGTACTTATGCTTAAGTACGAAATAAGAAATGAACCAATCACAGTAAGTTAACTCAAAATCGGGAAGGGGAGTCGATAGACAAACTAATGCCATATGGGCCATGAACATGATACCTCAAAATTGATTCTCACATCCGACCAATAGTACACGAGAATGTCTCACAGCCAATAGAAACTCTTTATTTTGCTTACGTTTATGTTAGACATTGTGAATACTTCACTTATGTTAATGTTTTCGTCTATGCGTTATGCTTATGTTTACGTTTGTATTGTGAATGGGCCTTTAGAGACCTCAAAACCAAGAGAAAAGCGGCCGTAACTCAGTTTTAAGGAAATTGAATAAAATAAGGTAATAAAAAAGAAACCTACGAAAGAACGAGCTTTTGGCAGCTCTGCGTCGCATAGGCAACAATGGACAAATATACGAGATGCATTATTGGAAGAAGAAAAGCGAAAGAGGACGGAGGTGCTGTAGTGAGACTGAGGTGAGAGATACGGTTAGAATTTAGAATTTTTGAAGTGATACTCTTTTTATTATTATTAT